TGACACCTACAAGGAAACACTAGCACTCATTTACAAACAGAACTCAGCATTTTTATTCTTTGATTGACTTCCTGCCAGTTTTGATATTTGCTACCACCAGAGAAGAGCGTAAAAACACAGTACAACATTGATAACTGGTTAGGAAGGCTGGAAGGGAAAGCAAATCCCAGTACAATTGCAAGTAACTTGGTGGAGTTTATAATTAAGATTTTAACGGATCAGCAATGAAGCAATAAATATGCTGCTGCACTGAACCAACAACAGGACTTTAACTAAGTTTGTGGTTTATTGCATTACAGTTTAAACATTATCCATCATCATACATTTGTTCACCAACCAGGTTAAATGACACTTTTTCATGTTATGTGCTAAATGGCTAAAATCACGCAGTAGCTGAACTAGACTAGGACTAGTAGAGGTAGATATTGAATGGGCAGTGCCAGGCAGAAATATTCTGTCAAAGTACTTTCTGTCTTTTGTTATGAACAGTTAGCAGATGTGACATTTTCAATTAAAACAAACAAACATCTTAGGAAAGCTCTTCTAAGATGCTTTGGATTTTCTAGTGATATTTCTCTTGCAATGTTCTTACAAACCCTTTGATATGGTCCCTTGTAAACTGGACAGTCTTTGTCCTCAGAGTTTTCCACCACAATTTACTTGAAGACCAACATACAAAGCTAGAATCTGTGAACATACTACTATTTGCTTGTACCACTCTAGAAGTAATACGCATTTACAGCTTCCTTGGCATGGGAAGACTGCATTTACAGTATTTACAGCTTCAGTAATCTTTCTAGTAATAAAAAAGCTATTTATACTTTATCTAAAATGGGTTTTCTATTATGCCACCTCCTTACAGCTCACTTTAGTCTCGTATTGCCGAGCTGCTCTATCAGTTGCTCCTTGCCATTCTCACTGCTGTATGCTCTTGGGAAGAGTTTGTGCCCAAAAGAGGCATTAAAACTGGTGTTTGTAGATGGCAGCTTTAATTTCCAGGAAGCATAAAGTACAGTCATGACAGCATGACCAAGAGTTTGTGACCGTATATGCCCTTTGCTCCTTACTGCATCCAAGAAGTTCACAGCTGGAATGCTCCTGACAGCAAGTCTTCTCCCAAGCTCAGCAACTGTCTTTCTCCATCCAGAACTTTAATTTTCATTAGTGAGTATATAGACTGCTCAGTTCCTTACGGATATAACTAATTACATACTACATTCGCATCATTTTCCTCCACAGAAGCAGTAAGTTATCAGAGAAGCATCACTCTTACTTCCACATAGTCTGAGCTATTTTACATTACCACTTAGGTACAAACTGCACTTTTAGAGGAGACCTTTTACAGGGAAAGAGGGAAAAGATTTCAAAGCTAGCTAGCTACCCAGCACAGAACACTTACAAAAACATTTAAAGCCATCATGAAAAGAGAAAAATAATTTTATTTCAGGTATACTGAGCTGGATTACTGTATCAAGTGGTTTTGTTAGCATTAGTGGCACGCATTCAAAGCACAACTGTGGTGTACGGGATGCTAGCACTGCAGGAATGATGGCACAAATGTTGCTTGGGCCCTCAAAGGCATTAGGTTAGACAAAGATTTGAAGTTTGCTTATTTGAACTTGCTCACCATACTGAAATCGTATTTGCACCTCTGGTTTCTCAGGCCTGGTCTCACCCTACTCTTATTGATGTATTTTCTTTCTATGAAGACACTGACAATTCAAGCTGGCTGAAGAGTAAGGAGCTAACCAACTTCCAACACAAAGCACACATGAAAGGAAGATTTAACAAGCAAATTAAATATACCTCATCTAGCCCTAGAGAGCTTCCTGGGAAATGGTGTTTTCTCCCTTAGGAGAAAACAGAGTTACAAATCTCCTGTGTTCTGGCTGCCACATCAGGACATGATTCCTTCCCTATGAACGTGGAAGCATTAAGACCTCTACTGAAAGAAAAATGTAACTGTAGAAGAATATAGCGGCTTTTAAGGCATTTAAGATACAAAGAAACAAAAGGAGTTACTGAATACGTAATTTTGAGACTGTTTTGCCCGTTTTTTCACACATACCACTTGCCTGAATGCTCTGGTCTCCACATGGAAAAAGTGACTACCTCATCTATCACCTTGGGACAACCAACCATTTTCTGTTACTTACAATTTAAGTCCACTTCTGACTCTGGCACTGCTTCATGCAATGTGCATTTGCATCATCTACAGTCTCTATCTAGGGAAAATTTGTTGCTTAAACTTCCCCCCACCCACCTCAGGAAAGATATCCATGGCATGGGTCATCACCAGCAGCACCACTGATGGTGGAAACACCGTTGCCACGGAAGCCAGGAAGAATCAAGACAACTCATGCTGTTAATGAGCCAACGCTCCAGTTCACTCTGATCACGACTGCAATCCCTGCTCATGGTTTTGGCAGCCAAGCACCAGTGATTTACAATTTGGATCTCAGCTGCACGGGCAGGTTTTCACTGTAGGGTGGCACTCTGCCACTGCTTTGCAACACTCATTGCACTGGATTGTTAACTTCATTTCCAGCTCTTGGAAACTTTTCATCAAAAGTTAGTATTGCATCTAACATGAGATACACAAAGATGAAGGAATAGCAATTCCTTTGCCAATCAAAGAACCTTCTTCTTCAGGTAAACTCTTGACTTGGTTTTATTTCCTGGGACTGCAGTCTTCTGGAAGGGATGAGGAACCTCTTTAATCCAAAAGTGTCATCTCTGAAGCACTGTGGATGCCTTTCAATAAGGTTATGAAATGTCTTTGGGGAAATCACAATAGTGTAGATGGAAGCTTCTGGAAGGCCCACAGAAATATCCTTTCCCACTTGCATAATCAAAGATAACAAGTAGCTTCTTGCTTTTAGTTCATCTATTTCAACACAAGAACAGGCAGTGAAAAAGGAAATAATCCCATTTATAGGCAGCACCCAAAACCCAGAATTTTGGGGAAAAAAAAATTGCTTGATGCAATTCACAATCTGTTAAAAAGAGTGAGCAGTCATCTGCCTCCTGCTAAGCATCAGAAGCCAAGAAAACAGCAGCAATACTCAGAGGCAAAGCCAAAAGCTCATAGCTTGTGTAGGCAAGACTGAACCATCTTCAGCAGCTGCAGAAGACATGCAGTCCAGGTATCTCAGGCTGCAGAAAAGACTGAGATCGAGAAATAAATACCAGTCAATTAAAGGCTCTATAGGTATTCTAGTCCCTAAAAGCCCAGCAGATTAAATACACAAATATAGCAACACAACTTACATTTCCAACATGAACTACACTGCAAAACATACACAAGCATAATCTAACCATGAAAAGAAAGTGGTGCTGAATATACAAGAAAAAAAAACCTGTTCTTCTGACAGTTAGAAAACTACAAACCCCAGTAAGTCTCCCTGGATTTCTTAACTGCTCATGTCAACCACTGAATTCCAATCATGTGGAAGAGGAAGGCTGTGTATTCACACTTCACATAGTCTGTAACTGAACTCCTGCAGCAAAGAAGGCACTCACTTCATAAGCTGTACTTTGTTTTCTGATCTGTTTTGTATGTTCAGCCTATAAAAAAAACAATATTTGAGCACTTATCTGTATTATTAACATACGTATAGACTGAAGCTTGACTTGGAAAATGAAATTCAGTGTAACAGTGGTGGAACTTAAAAGCTAAGTAGTAAAGCATTCTATGTTATTAGGACTTCCCAGACATTCAGTATTTACATATAATGCATTTGCACTTAGGCTCAACAACCGCCCATCAGCAGTGACATTATTAGCATAACTGGACAGCACAGTAAGCCAACCCTGAGCTGCACTCTAGTGAACCCATTCATTTTCAAAGTACAACAGAGATCGGTTTAAATATTCACACAATTGTTTTTCAAAACATTTTATTGCATTATATTTGGTACCTTATGTTTGACAAAGGAAATTACATCTGTAACTGCAGAAATAAGAAGCTGGTCTGTTACTCAAAAAAAATCTTGGGCCCCTTAAAAGTTACAAAGTCTTGGGCTTGCCTGAAACAACTGAGCAAGAAATATATTCTTAGAAATGTAGGGCTTCAAGTATTACAAACCTGTGACACTGTGGAAAAGTTCCAGAGGTATCTAAACTGCAGCACTTTTTATTTGTTTTCTGCATAACGTGAACAAGGCCTGCTGAGGTTTTAAACTGTTAGTCTCTTGATCAGTCGAAACGGTAGTCAGGAGTTCTCCTCTTTGCAAATTCAAGCCATAGTATGTTCTCATTGCGTTTTCACTCTAAGTGAAAAATGCATGCGATCTTTCTAATTAGTTGGTGCCACATCACAGTGCATAATTTTATTTGGTTCTTGCATTACAGTTTTAAAAAGTTTGGCCAACCTAAGCCACCACGTCCATCTCACAAACAGCAATGCTGATTCTGACCCCCCCCCCCGGTTTAACTTAGAGAGAGAGAGAGTGTTTTAACTGTTTCCTTCCATTAAAAACTGTGGTGCAAGAACACCAAATTGATTGTGTACAGTGAATTTCAGAGACACAACAAGCTTATTGAACACACTATGTTTCTTAATTCTGCTTGATATCCGTATGTCCCAGCATCCACAACATAACATGTATGTTGAGGGTTTCTCTATATTTTGATTCACATTGCATACTTCCTATGGACAGAATCATCCCCGTATCAAAATCAGTCAGATGCTAAAGCCCCATCAACTCTTTGTGCTCAGTGAAAGAATCCAGTGCTAAAACAGCATTTTTGCTGTCTGAGATAACAGTAATCTCACAAGACAAATTTAAAGTAATATTTCTGCCACACACCTGCTCGGGGGGCTATGTGCCGCCACATTTCACTCATATAAATTAGTTTAAAAACATGGGTAGGTAAGGAGAAGGGTTTTTCTTTTCTTCAATTTTAGCAGCTTTTAATTTTTAAGAAACCAAACAACCTATATCCAGTAATATGTTAGATATCTCATATATATACTTTGTCAGCAGGATAAAAAGGCAACCTTTTTTTCCTTCTGTTCTCTGTGTAAGTTAGAACAATTCAGCAGGTGCGTGACAAAAATATTATACACCAGATATGGTCCAATGTCATTTTTTTTCAATAAAGTTGTTCATATTTCATTGGCCAGTTCTTCAGGTTCTGCAGAACTATCTCCATTAACTGTGATCTTCATATCCTCTTCATATCCAGGGGGCATGAAAGCCAAAGCATAAGGGAAAAGCTTATGACAATTTGCTCTGTAAGTTTCAGATGCTTCTTTACAGTCTCCAAGGCTACCGTCACATAAAGCTTCTAATACCTCCATACAAGTCTAATTAAAGAGAAAAATAAGGAAGTGTTATGGTTCCTTAAACATTCATCTGAATGCTCACAAACCACAAATGCAAATACTACAAAGAAAACAAACTTCAATATCAGTTACAGGTTTCTATCAATAACCAATTACTTTAAGTAGATACAGCATGAAATATCAGTGTAGTCCAATTCAAAATGAAGCCTCCCAGTAAGAAAAGTGTAGTCTGCCTGAGCTTTAGCTGTAATACAGGCAAAAAAGATTGACTTTTTTTTTTTACTATTTTCATAAGTTTCTTATAAAGAATTAATACACATTTCCGTGCATCCCCATGACTGCACAATGGCAGAACATTACCTGAAAAAGCAGAGAAGGAGTAAAGTGTCCTTTCTCTTTTTTCTAGTCTTTTCTAAATTATTTCTGTATCCCAGTCAAACAGTTTCCTTCGGCATCACTGTGTCCAGCACATTTAATTAAGTGTTAGAGAGATTCCTTGTCAGGCTTGAGCAAACTCTGGGATGTTTCGTTTCTCTTGGTTCCCCTGGCACTCCATTTCTTTATTGTGTTTTTTATGTCTGGCGACTCAAGAATTTTTTTTAGATCTATTGCAAGTAAAATTGCTGGACTTCGTTGCAAAATTACTATTTTGGGGGAAAGCCACAGCATTTTCCAAAAACATCCCTTTGGAAATATGCTGGCTTCAACAGAACTTTAATTGTGAGGGATTTTAAGTTCACAATAGGATTTCTGGACAAAACAGAGGGGGAAAAGAGAAAAGGAAATAATTTGCCATAACTTATGAACTTGCTAGTATGTTAAAGATTCAAATCCTTTCTCTAGCTGTTTTCTCTGCTATTTATTTCTTTTATCTGGTTATAGGACACAAATTCATGTCTTATAATCTAAGTATATATTCAGTACTCTTTTCTCGTTTGTGGGGTATTTTTGTGTAACTGTTTAAGCAGTTTCAAAAAGCTTCAGACAGATTATTAACAGCTTTAGAAAACAAATTAAATTGCCTTAAGCAGCCTTTTTTTTGCCTCATAGTGGTGTTGTTTGCCTGAAAGTCAATTTCTAGGACTTGGACTGGGGAAACATGAAAATGTAATAGAAAATGCTTGGCTGTTTTACAGGTGTTACCTTGGAAGGACTAAAGGAAGCAGTGTATAAGGATTATATATGCAACATTAAAAAGTTCAATTAAAGCATTCTTGGTGCCAACACGGAGTAAGAGTTGGAGGTCTACTGAACTTTTATGTGGGGAAACTCAAAATGCCCTGAAAACCAGAAACTCTGAAGGAGTCCAGGCAGTCACTGAAAGGCATTCTTGTGTGCAAAGAGATCAAATTTATCATGTTTCATTTTAGCAAAGACCAGCTGTCCCAGGGCACATCACAGGCATAAATCTAGATATAGATGACATGTGGATGCCAGTGTCGCAAAAAGCAAATGTGAGCAAAAGTTGTTGTTGAAGAGAACTTCGTATGACCCCATAGCAGCAGGACAGAACAGTTAATACACAGAATAAATAAAAGCTATAGTAAATGTCAGAGGACTGGAAAAAGACTGGCTTACTATGCTAATGCTAGCATACATGACATGGATGGATGCAAAATGCTGCCAGGCTTTAGTGAAGCTCAGCAGGTTGGTTTCTCATGTCTGGAATGCAAGTTGAAAAAAAACCACAGGAAATATCCTTTTTCTCTTCTAAATCATGAAGAAAAGTGGGTATGCATCAGATATGAATTCACATCTTTACAAGTGAATCACCTTGGTGTTTAATAAGCTTTCCCATTACTTTTGGCAATAACACGGTTTCTGCTGCTACCTATCTTTTTTGACAAAACTAAATTAAGTCATTAAACATTTCAGTTTGGATGAACCTGATACCCTTTTCTCTCATGCCAACCCAACCTCCTTACCATAACGCACAGCCATCATCCCAGCTTCCTCTTACCTCCGTAATTTGCATAAAGCTTCCACAGATATACCAGATTTTTTTTTACAATTTATGAATATCCATTACCTGAAGATTTCTGTTAATGAGGGATTCATCCAAGGTCATTGCCAGCTCCACTGCCCTTTTCTGACTGGAAGGATCTAAATAGTACATCATTTTGGCAGCTACAAAAGGAAAAATAAGCTTCATCACCCAGGGGACGACCAAAAACTTAAGTACAAACATCAGAGATACTACGACCAAGAGGAGATACTGAACTCCACAGCAGTAGTTCAAATTAGAACCACATTGAAGTGTATTAAATGTTGACACCTGAGCAAGTAGGAAGGTACCTTTAAGTCTACTATTCAATGCTAGACAGAGCATTATAACAGTCATTGTCTACACTGCATGGTAGGAGCATTTTGCAGTGTACTGTGGAGTCTCAGGCAGTGAAGACAACAAATGAGACCTTCTGCAACATGTCACAGTTCCCTCCCAGCACCACTGCTTATATCTCCTTCACAAAGATGTGCACACAGAGCTCTTTCTAATATGGTATCAGGACACAACCAAGACACAGTTCCATGGCACAGATGTAGTTGAAGGGACTTGATGCCAGACAATGCAAGAGTAAACTTGCTGCTTTTCACAGCCAGGTCTGAGCCACAACAGTAATGCTGCTCTGCTCCCCTGGGTGGTTTACATCCTGTTTCTCCTATCGTGCCCACTGTAATGTGGTCACTATTGACAGACAGACAGTCTTTCATAACAGGCAACCAGCACTATCTAAGCTCCTCTTGTTAGGCACACCAACAGCTCTGGGCATTACCTGGCTTGCTGAGCACTCAGCACATTTCTCTTGCAGTCAGCCTCTTCAAATACATATATCAAAACTTTGCAACTCGGAAATACTACCTCACATAGCTCAAACAATTTTACAGATGCATTAAATACAGTTACAGTCTTATACATTCAGCATTATTCAGAAATGAAAACAGGACAGAGGTCCAAAAATTTGTATTTTAACAGCATACAGAAAAAAAAATTAAAACCACAGACAACATGATGGTCATGTCACAAAAATGCAAACTAAGAGAAGAAAAGCATTCCTGATGGAAAGAGTAATTTTTACTGAGTGCTGAGATTCCACTGCTAGATAAGCACAGAAAAATACACAATCAGGACAGAAAAAGACAAAATACCTGATAACCTATGTGGTAGTGAGTCATAGTTCTTTTTAAGGAAAGCTTCATTGAAGTTCTTTGGATTAGTTGCTCCAAAAAGCCGATTCATTTCTTGATTTAACACCGTTCTAACTGCATCAGGCAGGTCCTTACTTTCAGATACTATTGAATTGGAAAAAAAAGCAGTTAACTGAGGTGAGCACAGGTAATCACAGTAAAATTAACTTTATGCATTATGCATTATTGTCATATTTGTCATGCTTACATTATCAATAGAAAAAAAAAGTCAAAGGAAGATGCATGAAATTTGAAAGGTAAATTAGCTGGATCTGGTTGGAAAAAGCTTAATTGTGACAGTTTTCTGATACTAAGAAAAAGCCAAAGCCTTTTTATTCCAATACACATTCCCCCTTACTGATTAAAATCTGTGAAGCTCAAAGACTGAGGTCACAGAATTCTGTTCTTAAATGTACCTAGTCTGTAGCCACCAACTGGAAGGGTGACCTTTGGGGCAAGGGAAGGGAAGGGGTGGGAGAGAACCCTTCCAGCTTTCTAACAAACAGGAGAGAATACTAGGCCTTCTCGCACGCTGACACAGACTGCCAGCAGAAAAGCCAGATTCCTCACTCTGCAGTTTCGTTTCTTCACTCACTCTTTGATTCACCATACTACTCATGGTCTCAAAAAGATTTGCTAGTACTTGTTGGAGTAACTAAATCCAGCTACAATCATAATAAACATACTTAATTTTAGCATGAATCAGTTGTTAAAAAGCTTTCCACTATGTGTATTAAATATTTTTAATTAATTGAGCTAACAGTCTATAAGCTAAGTAGCAATGTCTGTACACAGGTTAGGTATCATCTGGAAGTGTGTACAGATGAAGTCTTATCAAACAGATACATACCACTGCTGAAGAGATGAATCATACACTCATGAAGCCAAGGATGACTAGAATCAATAGTGAAGGCTCTTTTCACAGACTGAAGCATCAGAAGGAACTTCTCTGGAAAAGAAAGTGTTGGCAAATGTTCCAACACCTTTGGCCGGAACTCGCTGCATTATGCTGCAGGAGCATTTAGTGTTTGAAATTTGAATGATCAGAATAAATTAAAAGCCGAGTGTCCTGCAACAGCTATTATTGATAAACTCATTAACCAGTGAGTTAGGCCTCTTAAACTAGTAAGTAAATTTTAACATACTAAGTTCTTATAGCATAATATAAGAATTCAGAAGTCCAGTGTTTCAAAAGACCAGTTCTCGTGAGCAGGACAATTGGACACCACTTCTTTACAGCATGTAGCTCTAACTACAGATACAGAGCAAATAAGCAGGGCAAATGCAAGAGGGGAGAACTAACTACAATCTTGTTGCTTATACATTTAAACACAGCAAAGAAAGCGGCTAATCACCAAATGTTCAAACTTTGCTGGGTTTTTTTTTCCCCACAGACTGTTCATGGCTGGGTGCTGGTCCAATGAAAAGCTGTGCGTGTTCCGACAGGCGCTGACTGCTCATGTCTCAGTAATTTTTGCTTGAACTCTATTATACATCTTCATGAACACCAAACTGCTTTGTTTTGTTTTCTCACCTACCTTTTCGAAAATAAATCTCAAAGGCAAAAAGATGTGTCTCTATTTTGTTCTTCACTAAATTCTTCAGGGGTGTTAAAAATTTAATGGCTTCTTCCAAAGGTGCTTCAACCTACAGATTCAAAGAAGTGACATGCAACTTAGTCACAGAGTTTAAATCTAGTAACTGCAGCAAGAGAACTGGCTATTTCTGAGTCACATTAGAAAGTTACTCTCATAAGGCAATGCATAAGGTGCTTAGAACCTCCTGTGTTCCAGATTTTGCATCTTTCACTCAATATTAGTGTCTAAATACAGACTGTCAAGTCTAAAAAGTTGCTTTGTGATGGTTACAAAACACATTTTCCTATAGAGATGCAAGCCTTTGCCTTTTATCATACATCAGGAGTAACCACAGCTAGAGCTGAACCTGTGCTGTAATAGGCAGTCTGGCTCCCCATGGATGCATGGGACTGAGATGGGACTGACATGTTGGTAAATGACTACTTTATACTCATGACAACGTTCATGAGTTAAGAGAAGTTCGCAAAACCTGTCAGGTCATGGCAACATTCACAGCTAAGATACTAACAGCAAGCTTGAAGTAACTAGATATTGATCATGGTCTTCTGGTCTTAGCTACTGTAATCCAGTAAATGGACAGCTTTAACACAAATTCATTCTGTGCAGATTCTTTCAGACAGGTCTGTTGCATCTAGAGGTTAGGGATAATCTGAACGAGAACTGTCCATTGTTCTTCATACTAACATTTTTATGAACGTAGGCTACTCTCAGAAATGGATATAAAATTGAATTTTGTCTGTCAACAATGTAGTAATGCTGAAGCAATACACTTCACTGCAAGCAACTGAATTGAAGACAACGATGAACACCTTAGATCCTGCTAAGCACATACTACAGAAGTTTTAATTAAATATGCATCATTTACATGTGCTGTTATGAGTTTGCATGCATCAGTCACAACTGCACTTAGACTATTTGGAACCTATAATAAAACAGATTCCAAATGTGTGCCTTTAATGCCAAAGAAGTCTAGGGGCAACTGGTTGAGGTGCAAGCGACCAGCGATATCAGAAAAAGTCTTCTGGCACTGGGAAGCAACTGAATTTTGAAGAGTCTGTATCATGATTCCGGTATTATTTCTGGAATGTAATTAAGGAAGACTTCCCAAAGGAATGCATTAAACCTCTTGCTGGGAAACCCAGGAAAATTCAATTTTCATACGTGACATTGAGACCATTTCAGTCTTAACTGGCACTGCCATTAGAACACTGCTTCTTACAACCACTGAGCTAAACAATGGAAATACTGACGATATTCTGAAATGACTAGTCAAGTTGTTTTAAGTCATTTGCTTCCCGGCTACAGAATGAAGTTCACTGTCTCAGCTTTCAAATATCATATCCTCAAGAGTCAGTAATATTCATTATATGTATGATGTGAGAATACTGCATCTATCAGTACTTGGATACTATACTACTATTACTATAAATTAATTTCTATACTACTATTACTATAAATTATTTCTTCCAGTCTATATGTAATATTTTCATTATCTTTCCCTGCAGTTTCAAGGTGTTTTCCTGCTCCTTACAGGTAAAACTTTTAGCATAGGAATAGTCTTCTGGGTCATCTCCCCTTTATGTATCTCTAGGGTTCTTAATCCAGATCTCAACATCCATCTCAGTCTAGCCTACTGGTATTTCCAAACAGCTTCTATAATGCCTTTTTAAATGCAAACAAGTATTCTTAAAGCATTCAGTCTTTTGAGGACTTCTTTTTCACAGGTTGTCTACTATTAATAAAAAATATTATGGGACATAAAGAGTGAATGATAATCACCTTACATTCAGAATAGAAAGACTTCCATCCGATCAACTAGAAATAGGGCATAATCAACAAGTTAGTGCAATACACACATGAAGTTAATTCCACGTGCAGCAAATGTCTACATATTCAACTGCTGCCTTTGAGAACCACACACAAAAGCAGTGATTTCATCACATTACTGACAGTATATCCAACCAACTATTCCTAGAAAAGAATTCTGTCTAAAATGTCACCTGTGAAGAGAAGCCATACAAAAAGGAAGTTATCTGAATGGCTTTCAAATTGTACATGTGCTTATTGCAACTTTTCTAGACATTTCTATGACTTGACTATTACATTAGTAAGCACCTTTGCCAGTTTCTCAGGGATAAGTTCTTCTTTCGGTCCTCCAATTTCTTCATCATCATCATCTTTCTTCTTTTTCTGATTCCTCTGTTGCTTCTCTTTCTCAGCATTCTTTTTCTCTTCCTCCAGCTGTGCTTTCTTTTGCGCTCTTCTCTGCTTATTTCGTAGCTTCTTTAGCTCCTTGTCAGACATATTTGCTGTATGCATGCAAAGGGCAAAAACAGACACTGTTGATGTCTAATATTAAACAATATCAATCAGTTGCAAGAAACTATCATCATCTTTAAACCATATGTACAAATTAGTAATGCTGTTTGTAAAAGCTTATTTACTATTGATAGATTATTTTGCAGTCTATGCTGCTGCTTCATAATTCACAAATTCCTTTGTGAAATCAGGGCAGTAGGAATTAGAACAATAATATAACATGCTGAAAGTGGGACAAACTAATTATTGCATGACTCCAACAAATCCAGTGCCAGGAGTAAAAGTGCACACCAATACACACTGATTTTTTCCTCCGGCATTACACAACTTATGTTTAATGTAGTAATTGAATGGTCCAACAAAAATAAGCCAAAATAGTTGTATTTTGTTATAGACAATTCCAGTTTTACTTTTAATGCCCTACAGATGTCTTACATTTGATTCATATTTAGATCTTCTCCTTCCTCTAATTAAAAGCATAGAGAAGTGATTTAAAACACATAAAAAAGAAGTGGCTACAAGAAATTCTGTTACACATCTACGTGCTTTAATTTGAACCTTAAGCCACACAAATGAACTCAGATGAGAGATACTAAAACTTGTCAAATTCCTTCTGAAGGATTCAACAGCCTCTATTCATACCCCTTGAGGTGCCCCAAACCATAATCATGTAAGTTGCTCTCCAGAGATGGATTTAAACATTTTTACATCAGAAACAAGAGATGATACAATTTAAGTTTCTACTCAGTCAAATTTTAACATTCTGATAAAATGCTTAGAAAGAGCTACCACCAAAGCACACCTGCTTTAATCCGTTATTTCACAGACCAATAATCACAAGAATTCCTTGTTTTCTCGGCCATTTCGTAACAGAAACATGTTTTTCCTTAAGAATTACAACTGCCACTACAAGCCCCATCATTGTTTTATAGGAACCAAAATAAAACCATGTACAACTTTCAATACAACATATCCTTTTACATGCAGGCCAAGTTACAGTTTGCCTACTTAACAGTTGGTTTTGTCTACCACAGTTAACAACTATAACAATGCTGGATCTTAGTAAAGTATCTACTAATCAGTAAAACTGCATATTTAATAAATCCTCAGGGTTGAATACCTGTATCAGCCTCGTGTTCTTTATTTTCATCTGTTAAGGGATTATCATGGAGTTTCAAATATATCTCTATGGCAATTCGTGCTGCTCTGAAGTAGAATGGATGTTGCCGAAGTATATCTTCTAGTTTTAACAAGTCCACATAAGACCTAAGAGTAATCTTCCTCATGCAGTAAGTGTGAAAGTCAAACTGGTCATCTGTGATTTCTACAAAATGCTAACACAATGTAACATAAGATTATTTAGCAAGTATTAGCAATTAAATACTAACTTTGACTTTTTTAATACACTCTCCCCAAAGGAATTATGTAGTAAAGGTCTGCTGTTTGACAAATACACCCTAACTTACAGAAATGTAAGTGAAAAAACATCCCAAATTAAAGTAATGGGAAAAGGAACAGAAGGCATCATAGGTCAGAACCAAAATTCACCCATTTCACAATCTCTCAATGGTAACCACCCTCTGACAATATGTGGTTCAAAGAACGAAAGTTCTACATTTGTTGTATTTAAACAGCACTTGAAGGATTTTTCTTCTATGAACTCCTCTAATCTTTTCAGTCAGAAGTATAATTCTGACTTCCATTAAATGCTGTGGCAGTGAGTTCCACACTTAGATCACATGTGGTGCGAGCAAGTACTTCCTTTTCTTCAAGATCTGCTTTCCTCATTGTCACCTGATGTCTCCTTGTTTTGGTTTAAGCAGCAGTGAAAAGTCATTCCCCTCTCCAATTTCTTCATGTACTTATGATCTCACGTAACTTCAACCTAAACTCAGCTGATGCTTGTCAGAGCTGCAGCTAAAATAGTAAGCATGCCAAGCTAACTGCAATCTCTTCAAGTTGATGTTACTCCATGGCATGTATTTTACTGGCACGTTTTTAAGGAGGTGTGATATTCAGATGTAAGCAGTATGACAAATTTATATAATGGAAGAAGAGTACTACTACTCTACTCAATAAACCCCCAACACTGTTGTTTGACTGCTCCTCCATACCAACTCAGACCTTTTTGCAGCACTGCCTATAACAGTTCCAGGATTTCTTTCCTGAGCAGAAATAATTAATATAAAACCTTTTACTACTTACACATAAGCAAAGAATTTTTGTCCCTCCCGCCAACTACACTGTTGAACATCGTTTCTTGCACCATTTTACCACTTAGTATTGAGACAGTGCAAGTGTTGCCCTTGCACTACTCACTCCCTTTGTGATCACTCACTGATCTATCAAAAAATGGAGACCCTAGAGAGATGTCTTAGTCATCTCTATAAGCTCCCTTTCTTGTAAAAGCTGATGATTTGCTCCTACTCTTATTTCCCAGTCACAAACCAGCTACTAAACCCATGAGATCAACATCCTTTCTTTTTCTGAGGTAGTTTACATCCTTCAAGATGCAAAGGATGACATCAAAAGTGTTTCTGAAATCCAGAACACATTTTATCACCTAGACTGCCTTAAGCATAACTGGCCCTTTTAAAAGATTAAAGAGACACTGCTTTTTCTTACAAAAGCACTGTTGATGTGTTCTGAATACAACATATCTTACTTCTGATCTTTACTACATCCCCAATTAATTAATCCAATAAATAAATTAAACATGGTGACTTAATTCCTTAGAAATGCTTTTTAGGGTGACTAAGTTAGCTCTTCCTTTGCTGAGCTCTTCTGGTACCTAAGACAATTTACAAGACCAGCGGTATCTTATACTATTTCTTTTAACAGAATTTTACACAAATTTATTTAAGATTTAAAGAACACGATTCTGGCAAATCACTTGTTGACTTGTTCTAGTCTGCAAATATTCCACGGACTATCTTCCTCTGCAGAAAAGCATTAGTGTTGAAATCTCCTTAAGCCTCTCTGTTTGCAAATGGGTGTAGCTTCCTACTAAGATCTCAACTTCGAGCATTTCATTTACAACCTCAACTGTCTGGTCTTTTTTCTAGACCATAGTGTCCTTAATATGAAACAAAACAACCCCCCCTTGCCAAAAAACAAAACAAAACAGAAAACAAACCAACCAACCAACCAACCCCCCCCCCCCAAAACCAAAACCCCAAACCCATACTTACTTTAGAAGATGTGCATTAAAATTCTTTTGTTTACCTTGCTATGGATCTGTATTTAATGCGCAAGCAGACCCCCATATTTTGGATACATTTTCTGCTCCAAAAAGTCTTTATTTCTAGTGGCTTCTTCTAAACTGTAGCTTAGTACTTTTTACAGGCAAAGATACTTAATATTTCCTATAGCTTTTTACATTTACTCTCTCCCTCTAAAATACAGGAGCTTAACAATAACCAAAACAACATCCTTTCTTTAAGGCTGGGCTTGTGAGCTCAGCCATGTTCTTTTTGGACTTAAAGTACATATCCCCTCTTTACCCCAAATACATACTTTTGTGTACCCTGTCAAAAGTAAGATTATTTCTGAGAGTTTTCTTTCGTTGATCTTTATATGATTTCATAGAATCTCTTTATAATACACAGTTTACAATGGCATTTTTAGGAGGAAATGTAATTCAGTCAACTCACCAGTGGCCAACATGAAATGAAATCACCTCCTTAAAGCTACGTAAAGTACACTCTTACTGCTCAGAAAGGAAACATATTAGCACAGTCAACTTAAGCTAGTGTTCCAACCCAGTCAGTTTAACTAGATACATACTCTCTCAATTTCATGGCATTTTTTAAGTGCTTCTCCAAATTTGTTCATTGCTTTGTAAGCTTGCGCACATTCTGTCTGAAACCACATGCACTGCATCTCATTCAAGTTCTCTACCGCTGAGGTTCCTTCCTAAAAGCAAAAACAGCATTATGAAGAAAAGTAAGTCTCATTCAATATGTTAACGGTCATTTCTTTTATCCTGCTTTAATTAAAAGCACAAATAAAGAAGCTATTAAAAAAATGCTAGACTTCAAAATTGGAGTCACAAAAGTCAAGAAACGCCACAGTTAACATGGACTTGTTTTGTTCATTAAAAAAAGAAAAAACATTTCCTCTGTGTTCCACTTATTAGAATACACACTGAATAACCATTTAACTGTGACAGTTCCTCACTTTTACGATAGAAGTCATCCGCTTAGTGATTTTAACATTGTGTACACAAATAACACATTGCAGCATGAAGAAAAATGGCAGAGAAGTTCTTGTATTTTGCATGACACTGACACCTGCAGGGATTTTTTTTTTTTCCTAAAACTACCATCTATGTCTTCTAGAGACCTGCTGATTGAGCTAAGCGTAGTAACAGAATAGGCAATAGGTTATTTCTTATGCCATCAGGACTAGAGAGCAGTGGCAAAGCAAATGGCATACTGGTAGCTCTGATACATACTGACTAAAAAAACCCAGGAGATTATAGTGGTCGTTCAAATCTCATATTTATATATACTTGCAGAGATCTGTAGAACTTATCCTATGCCTTTCAAACTTAACGTCAAAGGCAGCTACCTGGGGTGGATGCAGCCATTCTGACTTAACTTCAATCTTGCAAGAAACATCCTAGTCAAGAATCAGCCAAGAGCTAAAGCTGGGAAATGTCAGATAATATTCAAAAGATGCCCCAAATGAAAGAGAAAGGCAGGCTTCAAACCAGTCTCATTTAGGCAGCTAAAAATCAGAGGAAATAATTAGTTCCATTTTCATTATGCTTAATTTAGGTCTTCTTTAATTATTGCTTTTTAATTAGGAAGCTTGTATTTCAGTGCTACGCCTAAGATCAAAAGAAAATAAAAAAAGATTACATTGAGCAACACCACCAAATTTTGTCCCAATTCTGAATTCTCAAACTTACTAGAAAAAAAAGAAGTCACAGACATGGGCAACTGAATCAGGTCTTCCATGTTTCTTATAGAATCAACATTATACCCAAAGACTACTTTGAAAAAATCATCAGGTCCAAGTTTCAGCAATTTTACTAAATAGTATGGAATCATGCTTATGCAAGATTCTAGTAATGACCTAATAATGACCACCATTAGTGAAGCAAGCAAACATAGTTGCTCTGAGACTACTTAAAAGATTATAGTAAAGGTGAGTGGAAAGTTAACATACAAAGTTATTCCACAATGGGTTAGGTCCATGTTATTCAAAAGAGCTATAGTTAAATGCAACAAACCCTTGTAAACTTAGAACACATTTCCTCTGCTTCTTTAATGGAGTTTGCTTTTAACATATATTTTGCACATTTGGAGTTGATAAATCTGTCTGCTGTGTCCAAAGCCTGAGCCTCATCCATCCACCTTGCAGCTTCTTTAATATTTCCAGCATGCTTAAAGAGACAGAAGTTCAAGTTAGATTCAGTAATTTTAAAACATTTACATTTTATCTATTCACTGTATAATACATTTATTATTTTTTTTCACGCTTTTATATCAGTGGCTTTCTTCAGGAAAGCAGCAAGTCTTTAAGGAAAAAAATAAAAAGGCAGAAAAATTACTTTGCCTCATTACGGTAATACAGGTCTTTCCTGAAAATGCTTAAAGAACACTTTGGATAATCCCATTCTGATACAATACCATAGTGTAGTTAAGAACTCTTTTTAAGTAGCTAGAAAAACAGGTAGTAAGAATAGGTGGAAGACACTTAAGCCATCAACTAAATTTATTAGTGTGATTTTTAACATGAAACAATTTTAAATTAAGAATTCATGTTTTGCAGTATATTTTTCCTTTAATGACTTAAAAACCTTCCTAGGGACTTATGCAGTAAAAAAACCTAAAGTAGCCAAACAATACCTTTTATCACAGTATCACAGTATCACAGTAGGTTAGAGATTGGAAGGGACCTCAAAAGATCATCTAGTCCAATCCCCCTGCCGGAGCAGGAACACCTAGATAAGGTTACACAGGAACGTGTCCAGGCGGGTTTTGAATGTCTCCAAAGAAGGAGATTCCACAATCTCCCTGGGCAGCCTGTTCCAGTGCTTATTATCTAGAAACTCACTACAACTATGAAGTTACTTTCCATGGATTTCTTTATGTGTCTTGCTTAATACACTTCAATGCTCACATGAAAAACATTACATAAAAAACTTCCATCCTAAGAAACTAATAACCTCTGGTCACTAAGAGTAAGATAAACTTACCTTATAGATTTTTGCCTTCACAAGGAAGAGTTCTATCAAAGTGGGAGTACTTTCTATAGCAGCATTTATATATTCTAGAGCCAGGGATGGCTGTCCAATTTTATCATAATGTTGAGCCAAATAATACTGGACCCAGAGTAAAGTGGTTGGAGGTTCTTCTTTACCATCATCTGAAGGAGAAAAACAGAGGGAGGTTATGTCCAGTTTATTAAAAAAACATGCCAAAAGCAGAATGGTAAATATGTAATACCTCTGAAGCTAATTCTGTCTCTGTAGCAGGCTGTCATACCACACCTGGATCTGCATCTAAATACCTGGGTCCAGGTAAGTTCATTAACTTCTAAGGCTATGGTTTGACAAGACCTGAGCATACACTGCTCCCTTCTCATACCATGGTGTCAAGGGAATGGAAAAGCAAGTTAGTGGGTCAGAAGAGAGCTGCACTTTGTTCCAACTAGTCCCTTAATCAGGGCAGCCATATGTGCAAGTCTGCAGTGCATGCAGAATTCCTATCTAAAACTGATTTAGATTAAGTGTACAGCAGAGTCCTGCTAAACACAGGTGTTGCACAGTAGCAATGTAAAGGATTTCAGTACATTCAGTGTTTGCATATTTTCAGCCCACATACTTGAATATTTTTAAACAAAACAGGCTGTCTGTTGCAAAACATAGCTTTAAAAAGATGTTCTGTCTCCATCTTTGACAAACTTATCATCACTGCTTGCCTGAATGTATCCTAGAAAACTTTCTTACACACAAACGAGTCTTGAAAGTTAGAGAGCTTTGCTGGAAATCAGAAAGTACTACTGAAGTCTCAGAAGTTAAGTTCACTACTCAATTTTTACTAGGAGGTAAAGCACCTTGCAGGGCGTGTGGGCTCTATTCCTGCCAGAAGGTTCTGGTTCTTCAGTCTGTAACATAACCATGCACTTGGTTCATTTTAAGGGAGCAGAAAACTGTTTATTTGAATGAATTTTAATATGAATGAAGTTGAGTACCAAAGCAAATACTGAACTGGAACAACAGTAAGCTATTTCCTTAAACCAGTAAATCACAAATGTGTTTGAAAGGGTTGGACAAATTTCAACAGGTATTAAGTAGCTATATTGTAGCCTATAGCATTGAATTTAAGGGAAAAGTATAACAGGCAACTTAGGTGAGAATTTTGTAAGAAAGTATTGCAGGAAATTAACTAGTTTTAACTTCATTAAAGATTGTCTCGTAAACTTTTCACATATATTGTCATTCATGCTATCTTTATTATTACACCACTATAATTCATCTACCAAAATCTCCAGACTATTAACTATGTTGATATTCTACACAGAAAAGCTTTTTCTTAGAGATTTTTTTGTTACAAAGCAGTTAGGGAAAAGACTAAACATCATAAAGCTACCAGAGACACAACTATGAAGCCTGGATTCAATACATGTAGAACACATGTCTCACAAGAAAGCAGCTGCCAGTCAAAACCTGGAAAACATTTTTTAACTGTCAAACAAAACACCCAAGAATACAAAACCCAGCCCTCACGAAAAGCTCCAAAACTCCCTCCCCCTGAAGACTGTTTTATCACAGGATCTGTTTCTTTCTATTTGGAATTAAAGATTTAACAGAGCTTTCAAATTTCCATTTCCTGGACAATGATAAATTAAAGTCCTGAAAAGAGAATACCTGAACTCAAAACTGCAAAGAGATGACCAAACCTGTGGATCCAGGAGAAACTTTTAGAACAAGTGACTAGATTTTAAATACAGGCTATATTTGACAGCTCAAATCCATCCCAAGGGTGACTACGATTCAGTTCTATGCTAGGGGGAAAGAAAAAAAGGGAAAAACCCCCATCATCTCAAATTCTTTATTCCCCACTGATTCCCCGGCCTCTGAATGGTCACATATGCTTATACGAGGTGCTACTTCCATTAAATATGACAGTCTTAGCACTCACCATTTGGGTTAAATAACCTGCAACTTCTTAAAGAGGTTTCATAACCTATCACAAGCTCTTCTATGGTTGCCACCTACACACACAAAAAAAAAAAAAAAAAACCAAACAAATCCTGTGGGTAAGATGGTATTTTATTCCAACTTAACCTACTTGGTGTTACCCGAACCAGTTATTTTTTTGTAAGAAAATTCTATAATAGCCTGAATACAGGAACACAATCTCAGCATCTATAACAAATTACGACCAACCCCTCCTTGGTTAACACTTTTGCAGCTTCTAATTAGTAAATCTTAGTTTTCTGTATTTGCCAAGTTGGCATAAGTTTATCTATGCTTGTACGTTATTTTTTTTCAAGCCATAAAGTACAAAAGTGCTGATGAACAAAAAAGTTTCTTACATCTTTTTAATGCATCACAGCTATTAGGAAGAACATGTTAAAACTGGGGGGAAAAACCTACCTTCTCCTTGTCTTTATACAACGACCTCAACGTATTGAAGACTGGTGGGCAGCCTTTGCTGAAATTCATCCTTAGAAACTTGTCCAGACATTCCTTAAACTTTTCACCTTGAGAGGAAAAAGACCTGTTGATTTTGTTTTACCATACATTACTCATCAATTGCAGACCATTTATGCTGTTAAAACATTAGTATCTAAGAAACACAAGTGTTGACCACTACCTGCAAAAATGCACTTACCCGACAAAAAGTTTAACGGTAATCTTCTTGGAACTAATCCCTTAGGGTATTTAGTCCAGGCCTCTTCATAGATCTTTAGCCTCTCCATCATATTAGCTGGAACAGAATTTTAAAGTTTACTTTTTCCTTCCTTTTTGGCAAGAAGGGATAGGGGGAAGAAGGGTGATTTATATCCAGTTAAAAAAGAATCAGAATATATAGCAACTAATGGCTCTGTACTTCCTAAAGAACATTAATTTCTATTTTACTCTTTTTTTAAACTGCTGTACTAAGTGATTTCAGGTATGCAGTATCCGTAAATTCCTCTTCCAGCAGTGGAAGACTAATTGCTTACCTCTATCTTAAGAAAGAGTTCCTGTCTTATCACTGTGCTAAAATCTTCAATAAATAAGCCATTCAGGAGAATCGTGCCTGTTTTTCCAAAATGTGTATTAACTACAATATAAGATTAATACTAGACAGCAAAAGTAAAATTCTAAATTAAAACTATATCCTAAGAAATAACTCGATTCTTTCAACCATGCACAAAGATTAGTGTATTTTTGTTGTTGTTGCTTTGGTGACAAGACAAGGTAACAATACAATACTTCCATCCTTTCTTACAAAAAAAACCCCAAAACATTATGACTATACACTATGACTAAAAACTAAAACTTAAAATGGGGATGTTTTTAAATAACAGTTTTATTTATTTCTACTAAATTCTACATTCCAAATGTGCAGAAACACTTAACAAATCATTACCTGGTTTAAGTGCCTTTTCTAGGCCTTTGTAGTAGGCCCAGTTTTCAGGATTTCTTTCTTGCAGCCCTTTGTAGACTTCAACTGCTTCTTCAAGTCTACCAAGCTGAAGCAGGAGTTCTCCTGTGTGAAATCCAAGAAGTTTTAAATTAAGGTAACAAGACACTGAAGCAGTGCAATATTAACCATTCTACAGTAAAAATATTAGATAATCTTTAACTCCTTGCAGATTCTAATTTCTTAGAAAAAATTATCACAGTTCCATCATAAACGAGCTGACAGATATGCTTTTACTTTGACATTAGCTGCAATTACATTAAGATTCTACAATCGGCCAGTAACTATTGAAACTTACTTGAAAATTTACTGTTAAAAGCAAGATGCACAAGATTTTTTTCTCACTTACTGAAGTGACTGGTTATTTTAAGCACAGTTTTTACTACAGAAGGCAATTAAAAGCAGCACATGGCATTTGATATATATAGCACCTTGAAAAACAACCTGAAATTGCAGAGCTGCAAATAAAAGAATGGTTCTTCAGTGTGGAATTTCATAAAACTAAATTCCATGTCTTAAATCATACCACTGATCTGATTAATGAATTTTCAAGATTCTGCAAACAAAGTTTCCTTTTTATGATATTCCATTACAAGATACGGCTGTTAAAAGTAAAGTTCACATCTAACAACTGTATAAAGCATCTTTGCTGATGCTGGAGTAGCAACAGAAGTCAATTCCCCATTTCACAATGAGAAATCATGTTTTAGAGAGCTTTGCTATTGGCAAATGTTAGGTACTAAAAGATTAACACACCAGAGGTGATAAGAGTGTTTTTCTAGATTAAGGTAAGATTTTATCATGCAGTTTCATGAGGAAAATCTGAGTCAGCACTACCTCTTTTCTTCCCTGTGTCACACAACTGATGCTATTTTAGATGTGATTTAGATTTACATTAGATACTGCTTCCCAAAGAGAGGATAACTTGAAGACTACATGCAGCATCTAATGCCAGGGAAAACATCAATATGTTCACTGAGAATGAGAGAATCTGGGAAACAGACCTAAATACTTTCTCTGAGGTAGAAGTTACATATTTTTTATCCAACAGTGGCAAATGCTAATACTATTTTGAGTGTTTCTCAATTGTATTTCATCCACAACGGCTTTTGTGCACACATTTAAAATTCACAGAAAACACCCACTTATTAGCAGGCTTTTCTGTAGTATGCACAGCAATTAAGTTACAACTAATAATGCAACAGGAGCTGTGCCCCCCAAAAATTTGTCAGTTTACCCAACTGAAAGCTCATTCACTGCAAAGATTATTGCTATCCTTTTTTTTTAGTAACTTGCTAGCAAGCTTTGTATGTGTTTGGGCTTTTTGTTTATTTGGGTTGGGTTTGTTTGTGTGAAGTCATATTTGAAAATCCTATTTCAGTTCCAGCCCTGGACTTCAATCAAAAACTTAGGAACACGTAGGGTGTCAGATAAAAGGTAAGTCATTAACCAACATCCCTTGCCCAAACCAAGACTCCCACTATTATGTCTGAAATATAATCTAGTGATAGCATAATCTCTGCACCCATTTCCACTCATATGCAACCCAAATAACATATTTGGCAACTGCATAGAGTCACCTGCAATCATTTTCCTTAAGGAGGTACAACACACCTTCCATAATACTCAGTTCCTAGGGTTTTTTTGTGAGACAGATTAACCGCTAGCAGGAACAGGCAGCTAATCACAACATCTACATGAATAATATTATAAAGTAAAAGGATTTCTTCTCTTTGCTTCAAACAATCATTCGAACAGATCCCAATGTGGGCCATGAACAAACAGTACCTTCAACAGATTGGAAGTTTCACAGAAGGACTGTATGAACATTGGGCAGAAGAGGAACAAAGCACATTTTGAAAAAGTGCACATGATAATAGAGCTGTAAGAATGAACTTCTATCACACTGCAATTCCAGCTATGGAATATAAGATACAGTCTTACATTGCTCTGTTATAATAGTATACACTAGGACTATAATAATACAGTAACAGAAACCTATGTTGGGTTGCAGCTGAAGAGCCTGTTTCCATATACTGCAAGATTGAATGAGTATGATTAAAAGCCTTCTTTGCCAACGACTGTCTCCCTGTCAGGACGACTATCAAAGCTGTAATACAATGGGTACACTACCAAAACAGAATTTCAGGACATCAATTCAGGATCATCTGCCTGAAATGCTCATCAGCTCAGTAAGTTTCAGAATGGTGTATCTCTACTCTACTGATGTCTTGTGAACCTGGGAGAAGAGTATGGTAAGGACTGAGCAGCTGCGAAACAGTGAATCCTTTATCACAGCAGAATTAAGTAAGTTAGTCTACACCCAAATCACAGATGACATTCCAAAAGATGGGAAAAGCTGACAGTACAGGCATTCCATTGTATACTAAGCATTTTAAATGTATCTTTAAAAAGTAATTACCTTTAGTTTCTTCAACAGCCAGTTTATCACAGATCTGCTTTTCATAGGTACAAAGATGCTCCAAGGCTTCTTTATGTAGTCCTGCCTCCCGGAGCACTTGATTTTGATACAGCAGCAGTTCACTGTACTCATAGTCCACTTTATCAGGTGATGTCTACATAAGAAAGGAAGACACATGAAAAAGTTCAGCCTTCTAGAACACATTTGGATTTAATTCATTTCACTACAGAAACTGCGTAAAGTTTTCACATCATTGAACACAACAGTTTTATTTTTGGCTTAAGCAGCAATCCATATAGAAATTTCATGTTTTCCTCTTACCTGCTGTGTCTTCCTGAATTCCTCTAGAATTTTTGCTGCCATTTCATAGTCTTCCAGCAGATGGTAAGCAATAGCATAACCAATCCATGATGCTCGCTGTGCAGGTCGAAGCTGAAGCAACTGGTACCTTGTTTCCTGCAATAAAGTAGCTACTAATTTTCCTGACTTTATTCTGATGCTCTGAGAATCCATTAGGCCATACTCTGTCTTCAGTATTCTAATATTTAAGGAATGACACTAAAATTTAGTTTTCTATCTGCAAATATATTTTTTTTAACTGAAAGAAAGGATAAGCTTTAAAACACTATGATGGTCTTGATAGAGTAAACCCCCCCCCCAACACATCACATCCAATTGAGTACTGATGAGTCAGACTAACTTTGTCAATGTATGACACACATGCTTTTCCTGTCTCACTGCCTATACACAGAACGCAATTAAGCGTACTTTGAGTTGCAGAAACATTTATTAAATACTGGTGTTCCAACTTCACCCTGGAAGTACATGTGTATTAATAATTTCAAGTGTTATTAGGCAAAATAGGTCACGCAAGTGTATGCCTACTCTTTGGCAGGAAGATAATTACAGCTGGCAGATGCAACAGATTTGCTTGGTATCGTGCTGTTTTAACCTGAGGAAGAAGTTATTACTGATTTTGTTGCAGACGCCTGAAAGGCATCTTTAAGTAATTTAAAACAAAGGAAAAAAGTTACTAACTAGTAAAAAGCCCAGTCACAAGTAGGGCTTAATAAAGACTAAAACCAGTTACAGCAGTTTAACTAGAATGATGATCACTCAGAACAGCATAATGTAGGACAAGGTGGAAATTAAAGTGAAGGAAAACAAACAAATAAAACCTACTCACAACCTTACTTTCAGTTTTGAGAGTAAATTCACACTCTTCAGGAACTAGCATATGATCTGTCAAGAATCAAGGCTTCAAAGCATGTTAACATTTAATCCTTAATACATTCTAGAATCACGTGTTCCTTGTTTGTTTAGCACTTATGCATTTGTATTCACTTTTATCTAGAGGCCAAGACAACACACATTCGTAAATGTTTTCTGGTACCTATGCTAAGTGTTGGCTATCTTGTCTCAGCAAGAAGGGTGGTGAATTTCTAAATTACTCATGTGAAAAAACCATCCTAACTCAGGAATACATTCACTGAGAACCTCTGTTAGCTGACGGTTCCACACGGCTCTGAGAACAGAACTTGCTCTTGCCATACTAACATCACCCTAACTTGAACACGAAATAATCTATGAAAAGACCAACTTACGTGTTTTTAACAACCACAACTTTAAGTGTACAAGGAAAAACTGGAAAGATGAAAGCCTGACAAAACAAAACATCTCTGCTATATGCATGATAAGCAGAAGCTGCTACTTCTTAAGAAATAAAGGTATTTGCAAGCTAGACATCAGCTCACAGTTCAGGAAGACAGAAAAACAGACCTAACTCCAGTAGAAATAGCATTTATAGAGAAGACAATAGAAAGTTTACTTCTTCACAGAAGCATCACAGCCATGACACTACAACCTCATAATGGCTAGTTAACATGAAAGAACATCTCACATGGCAAACACAAACAAATGAGGCAAGGCAGCAAGTAACTCAGTGCTGCAGTAACAGGAAGAAAGAGGGTTCTAAACTAAGTTACCAAACTGCGTTCAGCTTTACTATAAAATAAACATTAAACAATAATCTAAACATTTTGGGTATTAAATTGGTAAAGAAGAGGAATATTCAAGAATTCTGATCCACAGTCCTACAGCTCACAGAAAACCTAAGGGAGTATCTGGACCCAAAGGAGCCGTTACTAATGCCTAGCATGGGCATGTTTCATGCAGCATCCTTGCTTTGTTATTTTTACCTACTGTCAAAAGCAAATCAGTGGCAACTGGCTTTAAAGGGGGGATATGTGGTAGTATGTTATTAAAAAAATAGAAACTCCTTTGCCTGAGTAACAGTCATCATCTGAATGCATTCGCTTCTACCTGCAGGAATCCATCCAAGACAAGACCAGGAATGTCTACAGCTGGATTATACAGCATTAAAAAGAGCAAACAATTCTGCGCTGAGCTGAAAAGACTCATTTAACATGCCACTAAATCTACATACTTTAGAGAAACTGCTCAGTAGCACATCTGCTTTTACTTTCACAAAGTATTGAGGAGCACATAGTTTTAACAATCTGGATCCAACAGTATATATGCAGTATGTATACTTACCCTGTAACCTTCAAGATCCCTCATTTGAATCTGTAGCAGAGAAAGATCTCTCAAGATCTGAAGATTGTCTTTGTCCCATTTCAGTGCATTCCTATAGCATTTGATAGCTTCATCATACTTCTTGTCTGACCTTTGAAGAAGGCCATAGACGTGCCAACCTGGAAAACTCTTGTTAAGGATTCTACTGAATGCGAGCAGGGAGAACACAGATTCAACATGCCAGGGACAGAATTGTTGGTAAAAATCTGTAAGCTTTTTATAAACAGACACTAGTGTTATCACAATCATTACAATCCTTTTCTTTAGCTGTATGAAGAAAACTGCTTGCTACCTGAAGACAAAGAACTGTTTGCCCATAATATGTACAGGGTGCATATAATATGCTAGAAACTGTACTTTTTGCATGAGGGGGGAGGAAATAAAGCCACAGGATCTCTGAAAAGACTATCAGGCTTACTCAAACACATTTTTTGAGTAAGTGCTTATATCAGGCAGCTAAAGTGCTTGCACTTCCTGCACTCGAAGTATATAAGTCCTCATCAATGTAATGGCAACTGTTAGTGTTTTTAAAGCAAATCACATGCTTAAATGCATGGTTCAGCCCACCATAAGTTTAGACTTGCAGCTTAACGATTAAAAACCCCCAAACAAACTACATAATGCAAGCCAGAATAATATTTCAGCTAGCTGCAAAGCATCTGCCCTTTTGATAGCTTAGACAAAACACTGTGTGTTGGAAACAAACCTTAAATCCTTAACTTTCCGTTTGTACACTAGTTTGTAGTACTAGTGTTTTTTGCCACTCTATAAATCAAGTGGTTGTAGAAATTAACCCTGTTCCATTCATAAGTGAATGCCCTGTTTCAAAAAGGATGCAGACATGACTCTTCAAATCATTCCTTAGGCCTCTACGCACAAGTTCATAAGCTTCCTCCTTCTTCCCTAGACAATTTAATGTTAGACCTTTCATGGCCAAAGTTTCTAAAAAAAATAATAATAATAAAAAAAATCAATAGGTATAAGTTATTCATTTTCATAGGTTTTAAAGCCTAATACAGCAACTCTAAAGAGAGCATGAACACAAATTTAAACTCCATTATCAGCATCAAGGTTTTCCATTCCTTTTTCTCATGGAAAACTATACTGGCAGTTATCCACTAAAGTGTATCATACATGACAATAAACTGCATGCACTACTTCCACCAAAAGTGAAGCAGCATTTTATTTCTAGGCACTAAAAACTGTTCTACAGACATTTTGGAGAAAAATGAGATTTTTTTTTTCTTTTTTACTGTAAAGTAGCATTATACCTACTCAGTATTTATCAGCAACATAGACTTCTACACATCCACCCATGCCAAGCTAGTTAGCAAAGAAAAAAAACCCACCACATTTCTAGACAGTGAGAAGAAACTCTTCACTCAGTCTTAAGAGCTGACTGAAAATACAGCAAGGGACAAACACCTTTTCCTTCTCTTTACAATAAAACTATTCCTTCAGAAAAAGTAGCAAACTGCAGGCAGACAGTGCTAAACATTCAATCTCTTGCTTTTGTCTTTCACTTCTACATGAGTGACTAACAATTCCCCTGTAAAGTGACTTAAGCAATACATAGTTGTATTAAGAAACCTGCACCATGCTAAAATGAATATTAGACTTGCAGAATAATGACAAAGAATAGTAAAGCTATGAATACTGACAACTGGCAAGACCAGAGTTTAAAATTAAAAATCTTACCAACAGTAACTGCTTACCTTGGTGAAGGTTTCTGGACACTCTTACTGCTTTATGGGCAAAAGGTTAATAATAAACTGCCATAAATATAACGTTTACAAATTACCACTCAAAGTATTGGAAAAAGAGACAGCACATGCCGTTTGAAAACTTACCTCCATGTTCTGCAAACTTCGGGTTAGAAAGTATCTGTTTACAGAACTTCAGCCCATTTCTATACTGCTTATGTTCATAACACCTCTGTTGAAGAAGAGCAGGGTAAATTTATTAAAAATACAGCTAAAGTACTTCCATACTCCCAACATAAAGCATCAATGCAGCTAGAGCTTTTAGAAAAAGTACTTATATTTTAATGGATCTTGTTTAATGAACTTTCTGCGATTATTTTTTTCTGGTGATGGAAAGAATTTTTACTATATTTTAGTAAGAACACAAGATTAAATATATAACTGAAGACCACATTATTATACAGCAGTTTCTCAGATAAGATACCAGAGGAAGCAGAAGTACCTACAGAGATTCAACTTTCTTTTATCATAAAAGCAAACTTTATGTCATAAGGTATCTTTGTATGCATCCAACTCACTTTGGCTTAATTGCCTTTCATAGAAACACACAACATAACCTCTAACAACCATATAGGCAGGAAAGAAAATTAAGTCATTGGAATCTGGATTAAACTGCCTCTGAAAGCAAACTTTTACCGTCAGTGTAAATACCACATATATTTCACAGACACCCAAACTTTTCAAACTGGTATATACTAATGTTATCTTGCCATCCTGGAAACTAAAACATTCTTCTGCATTTTTTTTTTAATCCATCTCTAGCAATTTGTTTCTGTTTGAGTTTCATTTCATTATGCAAGGCAACTGCAATGTGAAATAGCATACAGCATGAATGTTTAAAACCAGTTTTAGTTATTTCACTTCAATTAAACCACTCCCTGTGATAATCTTTTAAATAGAAGCCAAAGGAGGAGGAAACAATGTTGAAAACAACAATTCATACACTAAATCACTTAAGCAAATGATAAGAATTACTGTAACACCAATGTTCCAACTTGAATGTAAGAGTACAGAAACATGTTGCTTGAGCAGACCCAAACCCTTTGATAACTAGGAAATCATTCATAACAGGATCTCACTGACTCCAGCTGACCAGTTCTGGTGGCAGGATGGCTGAAAGGAGTGCAAAATTGTTTACAGCCAGCAGTTTTCAAGTCCTCCTAAACAAGTTTTGTTCAGGATTCCCCATTTCCTTGTGCTGCTCCAAATCAACTATGCAAGACCATTCATAAGCACGTATGGACACCATCTGTCTTCTAAGCACTCCCGTAAAAAAAAAACAACAAACAAAACGACTCAGAGAAGGCAGATCCAACATGTCTTCCCATCAAGCAGAAAGTTCTAAAGATAAAACTTTGAAAAGTTACAAGAATGTTATGGAAATGCTTACAAAGAAAATGGTGCATCTACCTCAACACCCTGCTTTGCGTTGCTTTTGCAACACAGAAGGTGCTGTTTAGTGTCCAGCTTTCTCTTCCAAAGCACAGATGGAAACACCAAAAATAAATTCAGAGGTGTAAAAAGCTGGTATACTCCTAAGTGGATGTATTATTTTCTAGGTAAATACAGCTGAAACATCAAGGCTGAAGACCAAAAGGCATCACAAACTAAGGATCTTTCTCCCTTCACCCTGTTCCCACCCTTTGCAGAAAGGGAATCATGGAAGAAAAAGAGGATGAAGATGCTCAGAAGAGAGCCTTTGAAGCAAAATGGATTGAAAGAGGAGTGTATCAACAAAACAATGACAGAATGGTTTGGATTGGAATGGACCTTCAAAGATCACCTAGTCCAATGTCTCTGCCATGGGCAGAGGCATCTTTCACTACCTCAGGTTGCTCAAAGCCCTGTTGAACCCTGACTTCGAACGCTTCTGAAAGACAACTCCCTGTATCACCAAGGACAGGAAAAGTAAGCAGGGCACCCACCTAGCAAAGGAAGATTAAGGGTTAGTTAAGAGGAAATCATAAGAGGCCTTTTTTTTTCCTTTAATTATGCATGCCTGGTTGTTATTATTCACACCTTTCAGTCATTACCTGCTTTCAAGTAGCTGGCTGAGTCACTTCAATCAGCCACTGGTCAGAGCTGAAGAGAGCTTACAGGTTACAACACAAGATCAGGCCTTTTTTGTGTGTGTGTGTAAACTGAAATCACCAGTCACAGAGATTACCACCCAGGCCTCCTCCCTTAAAGCAGAACAGCCATTTGCTCCCACCTAGGTAGTTGTGAAAGCAGCAAAACCTGCCACAAAAGTGGTGCAGCTGCAAGAACTTAAGGATGCATCTCCAGTGTAACTAAGGCACTGTCACAAGCAGAAGGGGTACTTTGGGGTTTTGCAATTTGCTTTTAAGTACAGCTTCTCAGATGCTGGCTATGAACATGAAATCTTATCTCTAAACAGTTCCATTTTGCATACTCTTAACAACCAGTCTTTCACCTTGAAGTTTAAGGAAAGTCAACCATGATGGTATACACGCTAGAGACAGGAAACATTTGCACATAAATTTTTCCGAGTGTAATCAGGACTTACGATGCAGGGTACTTTATAACAGAGTAAATTCACTGAGAATTACAACAAATCCTCCCTTTAGGCTGCAGGAAGGAAAAGTTTACCAGTTTATATCCATTTACATGTATTGAAAGGTTCTCATCAGCTCTGGGTGGAAGGAGAGCTCATGCTATGGTATCTGCATCCCTAAACCGTTTTTCAGCATCTGTGCAGAATCAGTCTTTGGACAGCAGATGTCTTACATATGGTTCAGCATGCCAAGTCTGAATGCTCTGTATCTCTTCTTTGGCGGCTGCCATAAGGTGGAAAGACTTCACTATTTACAGCTTACCTGCATGTAAACTTCTAACTGCTGGATGGAGTTTGTTCCACCCTCATTCGAGTTTTGAATCTTCCCTCTCTAGTGCATCTACTTTCTAAACCTTGTCAGCAAACCTACAGCTAGTGATTAAGACTGACTTGGATTCTTAAGCAACTACCCATATGGTAGTTACTTTAGAAGGTTCATGCTACTGATTACAGTTGCACTCCTAAGGGCTGCTGACAACAGCAGAGAGATGACTTCTATGCAGACTTAATTCAGCATTGTTCTCTTTATCTATTGTATATACAAACATATTTTCTTAGAAATTTTACAGCTGTAAGTTTGAAATGTACTGAACTAGGCTTTCAAATTGTCTGCTACCTGTAAAAAGCAGCACATTTTACCTCCAACATACTGCCTCCGTCTCAAAATAGACATTTTAATAGTCAATTACATATGCTTCCAACTAAAAAGCAAGGATAATAAAGTGCAGCATTTTAATACGCAGGAAGTATCCCAGCATCAAATACACAGCACACAGCAGACCAGACCCTGCCATTACAGATGACATATTTTGCACATATTCACAGATATGCAAATCCTCTTTATCAAAAAGCAGTCTTTGTGTTCTACAAGTATTTAATAACTAGGTAATTTAATAGCCAATTAAATTCGCTGTTTCTAAGACATTTTGTAATGACTACACCACAGATTAAACTGTCCTGTATGTTCAGTAACATCAACGATTAACAACAGCTCAGCGTATAAGTCAGTATAATGCCAGGATTTACTATGGGTCTCATTTAGAAGCTTCATAGCACAGTAAATTTACGCTGGCATGACTCAATCTAAGCAAAGAATCACCTAGATCACAAAACAGCAAGCGTAAAGCAGCCTTTCTAGCAGGGGCACTTGAGAAGATGCCTACGTCCAACCCAGCTGATTCAAGAGCATTTTAAAACCACTTTACACTAGTTAAAAATAAAAAGAATCCATCCAGGCTGGATTTTGCAGCTGATTAAACAGGTGAGAAGCAGACCAGAAAGTACCTCATGGTGAAGCTGAAGATAAGTCATAACATAAAAAAGCCGTCTGTCTTCTCACCTGGAAACATGAAAAACTAGAGGATTTTCCTCAAGAATAAATATCAAAGCAAAGGTGGCATGTACTGTTTAACTCCTCAAAGTCACAAATGGAAGCACTGGGGTGTTATTATTTGCTTTTTTTTATTCTTACTTGGACCAGTGCAGCTGGTTCTAAGGAGTAGTGGGATGAGAGTAAAACGGATAGCAGACCCAGGCATGTGGGATAGGATCACATTCCCAAACATTATGCCCTTTGAACTAGAAGAGTAAGAAAGCAATAGCATGCAATTTATATTAAAAAGAAAGAATTTTGCAAAAAAAGCTAAGAACTTTACATCATCTTCTAAGATTATGTATTTTCCAAGGTCACACTTTTAACTCAAACTTAAGGCCAATTTTTTAAACCCCCATATCTGCAAATTTACAGAATTAAAATGAATGCAAACTCAAGTACTTAAACACAAAAAAACCCCACCAAACAACAGCAAAACAAACCAACCAACCCAAAACCACCACAAGCAACCCCACAGGAAACCACTTTGAACTGATGGAAACTCCATTAAAGCAAGCACCCTAATCCAGCCAATGATGGACTAGCTGAAGAATGTAATTTTCTTTACTGAATGAGTACCAAAATTGGATTCAGCCCCAAGAGACAACAGAGATAAAAACCTAAGTTCTCATTGTTAGTCCACTGTACTCAGCCTCTCTTCCTCAGGAGATCACATAGCCTGTGTCATCGTAAGAGGCAATACTGCAGACTATTCCCCATCATATACAAGAGTTAACAGACAGGACAACTGATCTACGCTTGAGCAAAAGCCAAGTGTTTACTTCCATCTGGAAGTCATCAGGAGAAAGTCCAGTGCAGACTGGGTTGCTCTACCAGAACAATTCAGGGATTCACATCCTGTTATTCTCTTCCCTGAGGGTTTGCAAGGCTTGAGCAGAATCCAGGTGGACAAATCCTTTCAGATATAGCATGTGCTCCTGAAGGGACTCTGCAGTTTCTCCCAGTAGCAACCATGAATACATACACTTGCAGCATCACACAGCAATGCTGGCAATGACGTGGTAAGACCTTTGGCAGCAGGAAGTGTTAGCATATTTGGCCCTAGCTTTTGCTAAGGTGTGTGCTTACAACACATGACATGCATGTCTGCCATTCAGATGCTATCTATTTCTTCCAGCACAGTTCAGATGTAGCACTCAGAAGATAGTTAAGTCCAGGCGCTGTATGTCTCAAAGCTGTTTTCCAGCACAGTTAGTCTCCCCCT